ATACTTCATGTATAAACATGGGCAGAGTTACTGAAAGGCAAGTAATTAGATCAGTGACTCCATTTCGGTTGGTGTGACAGCTGCATCTTTTTCATGTCAAGTTAATTTCAACTGTAATTTGGGGATATGAAGTACACATACAATACTGTAATCTGGAAGATTTATATAAGGCAAAATCATCATTCATACATTTCCTAGAAAGAATAATTAAGATCCACTTTTGGTACCACCAATAAGCAGAAATGGCTGATGGGTTTTTCTGACACCGCAAACTCAACTGGAAAGTTACTATAAAACAAAACTACGCAAACTTTTTGGGAAAGACTTGTCTGAATTTTCGCAAACTAAAACAGTAAAATGATCTAAGCCTTCCCTTAATAAATAAAAAGTAGGATCTATAAAATAATGTTTAAATGTGATTTTTCTTAAAAAAGAGAAGCAAGATTTTTTTAAGGCTCTCGTATCCGGCTACTGTGAAACTCAGAATCCTACAAAGTCCTAGGAATCTGATCAAGCCTGCCAGATATCCAAAGAAAAATGTAAAAAGTGTTTTCATTATATATATAAAATATATATAAAAAATCAAATAAATATGAAAACATTTGTTCCATTTCCCAATTATCTCTCACACTGCAATATTAAGGAGAAAAAAAACCTCAACAACAACAAAAAAGAAGAAAAAAAACCCCAACCCCTCCCCCAACCCCAAATAGTACATCTGATGGGAAAATAACCATGCGTTCCTCTTCCTGAAGAACTAGAAAGCAAAGCAACCCAACTGCAAGGCAATGGAGGCATTCACTTCCAGTTCACAGTATTGCAGTTAGAAGTACAGTGAGGTCTAGGTAAGTGATGGAGCAGGAGCTGCCCGGAGCAGGGAAGGAGGAGGTGTTCACATGACAATACAGCATTGACAGCGCTTTTTCTTTTGTGTACCTGGGGCAGCTTCCAAGGGCAGGCTTTCTTCCTTCCCCTCGGGAGAGGAGGGCTCTGTGGTGTCTGACAGGGGCCTGCCAGAGACCAGCTCAGCAGCGTTCCCGTCCATGGTGGAGACGTCTGTCACTGTCTTCTCCCGCAATGATTTCTCGTCGTCTTCATCGATCAGGACCAGCTCTGCCTTGATGGTCTCGTCATAGCCCAGCACCTTCTTCGTCTCCTCTTCGTCATCAATGTTCTGGTAGCCCATAAATATCATTGTCACCGGCTGATCTGCGCCAGCCTCCAGAGCTTTGCCACTGCAGGGTTTATCTTGGGGCTGAGGGTTCACAGCATGCCCTTTGCTGGGTTTGTGTACCATTTCCAGCTTCGCCTCCTTGAAGAGCATTTGCTCCTTCATATGGCTAAGGTTTCCATCGGCTACCGCATTTCTGTCTGACACAGTCATTGTTTCATACCCTCCTTTTACACTTGATTGTCCAGCTTTTTGCATAAGTTCATCTACGTCCTTTGAGCTTAATTTATGTACTCCATTTTCTACCACTGTGCCACCAGAGTGAACCTCATAGACTACCTTGGTACCATCATCATAGACTTTGAATCCTCTTTGATGGGCCTCATCTGGGCCAACAGGTGAAGCAGAGACAATCTTGGTCTCTCCTGTCTGTTTGTCTTTCTCCACATTAATTTCCATGGTGCACAAAGCTTGAATGAAAACAAGAGAGGAAGTGCATGTTACAACAAAAAAAGCCAGTGAATGGTTAATTGCCAAACAGACAAAGAAAACTAGGGTGCCCCTTCTCCTGCCTCCTGCTTCTAAAGGGCCAAGTGTTCTGCATTAGAGGTGGGACGCAACGCTGTGGACAGAGACATTTATTACACTACAGCTTTGTACGCAGCTGGAGGCTGGTGGTACCTGCGGCAAACAGGACCCAACCTTCCAGATTATGCCGTGTGGAGATGTCTCTGATCAATTAGGAGCACCAAGAACATTTGGGTTAGACGTAATTTAGACAAAGGGAGGTGACAGCATGCAGGTTACCCTCAACCTTTCCGTTCTGAACTTGCCTCAAAGTTCAGAGAGAAACTAATCTCCAGGAAACTCTCTGCTCTCCTTTCCTCCTCTGCCATCAAACCGCCAGTTAGCAGTTAAGAAGTTTTGTTTGCTGCAAGTAATACCCAGACTGTTTTATTATCAATGCTTGTTCTTGCTTAACTCTTCCATCCGTAGCATTCAAAACATTTTAGAGAGGTAAGGAAACATTGTTTTACCCCTGTTCTGTGGGTGGGAAGACAAAATCACACAGGAATGAGATAATTTCTCCCACAGATGCGCGGCAGCAACAGGCCTTAGCTTTCACACCAAGGCATCAACAGTGACCTCTGCTTGCAGGTTAAGAGAAAGTACAACATGGCCAAGAAGTGCTCCCTCAGCAGCATTGCCAAAGTTGAAGAAAAAAGTAAAAATGAACTGATTTTCAAAGCATCAAGAAACAACAGGTAAAAACATGTGTGAAGGATGCTGCTTTAGAATAGCAAAGAAGTGCTTCTAGCAGTTAGGAAGGACGCAGTAACAAGTTGAAAATTGTAGAGACCACACAGTAGGAACAGACAGGCAATTTACACCACACTAACACCCATTTTGAGATACAATGGCATCTCATTAGACAGCTATTCAAAGAAAAATGTGCAAAGGTCTCACAGATTTTCCAGAAGTGGTCATCTGTTTAAGTATTTCCTGTACGCAGATGAAGACATTTTGGCTCCTGGACAGACACCCACAGACACTTAATTACAAATTAGCACAGGCAGTGACAAGTGTTTGTGAAACTTACGATGACCATTTCCACCAATGAACCTCAATGGTATAGTCGTGATTTGTCTTATCTGGGGACACCACAAACTGATGTGTTGGCTTTTTTTCCTGCCTTATTTTCCAGTAAGTACAGAATATCCTTGCCCCTAAAACCAATATAGCTTGGCATGCTTGTATTTAAAAAATCATGAATATAAAAAGATTACTCTTGCTTTAATATATTCCTTCAGTCTTATTCACATACAGTAGATATTTTTTCCTGCATCCTTAGAGCAAAGTATTTAATTAGCAATAGGAAGTTTATCATGATGTGCATCATGACCCCCACTATAGCTCTAGACAGAAAATTCATGTATTGCTGAGTGGGTGGATGCTGGCCCCTGCGAGGTGGTCTTCTCCAGCCCCGGGAGTGCAATCTGGTAGGAAGCCCAGCCAAATGGAGGTCTGGCCAACTACGTGCTGTGTGCATCTGCTCAGAACTTGATTGGCCCTGGAAGGGCTGTTTAGGTCAAGGGCACTGCTGCACAAACCCCTGCACAGGGCTGGAGAATGGAGGTGCCGATGCGTGAAGGCACATTGCTACTCCTGAGAGTGAGGTGGTGCTGAAGACTGGAGTGGGCTGTAGAAGCAAGGACCTCGCCTTGGCCATTTCAAGCTAGAGGAATATTCCTCAGGACTGTGTTTTACCACTGCTTTGAGAAGTTTATGGACTAGCTGTGTCCATAGCTGCCATGACCCTGAGCAAAGGATGCCCATTGTCACAACGAAGTAAGGATATCAGTTTTCTGATCCGCCTCTCCGTGCTGGAGTTTTCATGCCTGGCCACCCCACAGCAGCTGGGAGGAGGCTGCGGGAGTGAGAGCTGGGTTCTGCTCCGAGGTGTCTGGTGGGAGACCGAGGGGCAGCTGGCATGGACCGAAACGGGAGATTTAGGCTGGAAATAAGAAAAAAACACTGATGCCCTAAGGCCAGTAGCAGTTAAGCCTCGGAGCAGGTTGCTCTGAGGAGCTGTGGCAAACTGCACCACGGTGCAGCTCAGAGAGCAGCTGGCATGGAGCACTTGCTTGGGACTGTCCCAGCCTGCGAGCTGATGGGCAAGTGTCCTTTAAGTCTCATGCAAGTAACTCTGCCCTGAAGCCTTTAATCCCATTTATAGCATTAATGAAACAAAAAGACGCAGGTGCCACCACTAACGCTCTGGAATTTCCTCCCTTCTAGGTGTGGTTTCTTGGGTGGAGGTGAGGAGGAAAGGAAGAGGAGTTTTATTTATTGTCTTGATCTCCAGGACTTGGGTGAGTGGGCTCTGAACATCACTTGATCTCACCAGGGCTGCTCAGGCAGATGCTGTTCAAAAATTGCAAACACTGCAGAGGTAGAAGTAGGGCTCGGCTAGGCTGGGGTGCAGATGCTAAAACTGACAAACTGGCAGGTTTTCGAGCGGCAGCCAGATGAGCTGAAACAAAGCTGGTCTATGAGGGAGGAGCAGCACATCCTGAAAATGACCTCTGATGGGTGAAAGTTCCTGATTTGTTCTGAGCACCGCAGCCCTGCAGAGAGGGCTCTGCCAGCCCCCTGACCAGCTGCCTGCTACCTTCTCGGTGAGAAGCAGCACCCTGAGCTCCCCTGGAGCTCCTGTGCGTCTCCTCTTCTTTGAAAAATAAAAATATTGTCTGGGGCATGACTTTTCAGTAAAGGCTGCTGATATTCCTATGAAATAGTTGAGTACCATGTTATTGCTTGTATTTTTAGTGCAGAATAGTGTGCAATCTGCCAGACTCTCCTTGTTTTAATGAATAAATTTCATTCAGGAGTGTACATTAAAATAAAGCTTGTATAATGGGCCTGAATTCAGAAGCAGATAAGGAAAATCTGATAGTTAAATCATGTGGACCTGGCCATATTTCAGAAGAGTTGCAAGGTACATATTTTTGTCTATGGTATGGAGTACCGCTAAGTAACAACATCCTACTTATTAGAAAGACTTTGGGCAAAAAATTTTAGCACTGCTTGGAAGACTCTGTCCCACTGGCTGATGTGATCTAGAAAGTTAACAGGTGTGGTCCTGGTGTATTTTATGTTTGGCGCATTTGCCACTGTCAAGATTTTCTTTCCACTTCTTCTACTGTGATTTCAGCAGGGGTGTTTTTAAGATATTGACATAACGTGGTTTATGACCTGTGCCAGGGATGACATTATAGCTGCTTGTGCAAGTAAATGCGTAAATATAGCTGAGTTTCTTAGAAAGCTGTTCACTAGTGAAATGCATTGCCATGGGAGAAGTGAATAACAGAACCTGACTTATCTGCCTGTATGCATAATGTTTGTTCTCTGCAGGAAAATGTAAAAACCCAACTTGTCAAAGTAGCTGAAAAATGAACTAATGTTGATTTCTAAAATGTCTTTATTTAACCAGAGCTTATTTGCTGCAAAATGTGCTCTATTATTACAATGCAAAACTATCTGACAATAGAGTACAAACAGAAAGCAGTACTTGAAGATGACAGCCCGTATTCACAACTACTAGTTTTCTGCAGGAGCTTTCATTACAGCGTAACATGATGCAGTGCTTCATGACAACAAGATCCCAACGTGCAGACAAAAGGATCTGGCTTCTGCCTGTTATGTGGATTTGGAGGCTGTTTTTTTAAAAAAAAAATAATAGGCTTTGAGCTTGTTTTAAGATGGATGCTTACAGTCTACCTTTGAGCACATATGCTGATGCTTTTTCTTTAAGCTATTGCACACACACAATACTCTTGTAAGGACTACATGAACAAGGCTTCTGGGTCATTCAGACAATGGAAGAAATTGTTGTATTCTTGGTGTTGACAAAACGGCATGAAACACACAGGGAAAAGCTTGCTTTTAAGATAGATGAGGGTAAGCACTGGTGGAAGGGAAGATTTTGGAATGGCTTGCAACAGGACCTCTAAACAAAATGACATGTCTCGTAGCTGTGTACAGTGTCTTAGCTGCAGACATTGCTTTGCTATGCTTGTTAACCTGTTCTTCAAGTAGGCCACCTTTCATGCTCACTCCTTGGGACACCTCTTAAATAGCCACCAACAATTTGGTCTTGAGATAGGGAATACATTGTTTAGAAAAGAAGGATCTTGAAAATAAGAAAAACATACAGCTTCTAACAATCACATTGTTACATTTAAGACACATATTCAATCTAAAAATAAGCGTTAGAAAATTCTCTGTATGACTCCAAGCACAAAACATGCTGTTATTCTCCCCACCTTTTCACCAAGAGGAAAGAATGATATGCAAATAAGTATAAAATGACATAAAATTTTGAAGCACCTATGCGGTCTTGTGAGTGCCTGTCTGTCTCATTCATCTTAATGGGAGTTGCATGAGCACAACGCAGGAGGCAAAACCTTGGCCTAAATACCACGTATTTGTATCAGCAGAGATGGAGAGAACGAAATATTTCCATGTAAAAAAATTGGACGTGTTTTCTATGCTACTTGTATGTAGTTCAACTACATTGTTTTGAGAGTACTCATCGCTGCTCAAAAAGCCTTGACTTATTGACAAAATACAAATCAAGAGGCATTTCCTGGCATTGAAATGATATCAGGACACCAGACCCATTAAGGTAATATAACAAAACAAGTTCATGGCTACTGGACTGGAATTATAATACTTCGCTCCTTGAGACTTACCAGCTACTCTGCTCGCTCCGTCCCGCCCAGGAACTGGCTCTGCTGTTCGTGAATAGAGGGTTGGGAGTTCAGGGATCTGGGAGTAAATGTAATTTACTGCATCTGGTGTCAGAGAACAGGAAACAGTTAGATTCGTGCTACGAGGCCCAGTGGTTTCATTGCTTAGACAGCAGAGTGTTGTCAGCCCCAACAATAGTCACTGGAGCTTTGTACCAGATAATCGGATCAAAGCAAACAAAGTGCAAAGTCACTGTCGTGTGATTGGTGTTCAATAGACTAGCTGAGGCAGGAGGGAATGGGTCCAGATGACTCAAACCTTGTGTCAGTTGAACACATAAAATTATTTGTCAGGAGGTTCTGGATTTATCAAGTCCATGACCTTTAAAACAGGGGGGAGAGAGGGGGAAGGTAAGGAACAAACCTAACGTGATACCAGAATACATGACATTTCAAATAGAGATATAAAAGCCTAAAAATGCTAGTGTTGACTGAACGGGATGAAAGGCCAGCTTTTTTGCACTAGTTGTTTCCAATATTGAACTGACATTTGGCTTTTTGTTCTTAAAGCTGAAATTTAGCTAATAATGGAATCACATATAGATACCGATAGGGTGCCCGTTGTGACCTTCAGTAGGTTTTAAGTGCCTGCCAGTTCTACAGTACCATTATTCATTAACAAACCCTGAACTAGTAGAAAGCTATCTTAAAGGACTGACTTGATTTACTTTTGAGCTTATGGTTGTTTAGCATAAGCTGATTTTGTTCTTTAGAAAAGACATGAAAGAAATTTACAAATATATACCTGGAGATGTTTTGTGGCTGGGTTAAATATAACTAGATAGTGTAGATAATTCTGCAAGCATTCGGTGGCTAAATTAAAAGCAGAGCTTAGAGGAGACGTGCAAACAACTGACTCACAGTTCAGGTGCCAAATGAAAATGAAAAAGAAGAAAAAAATTAAAAAGCACATTCTTCCTTATGAATGGGAAATGTTTTCAGGTTTGTATGGAAATAGTTAAATTTCTGTTCAAACATAAGATCCTATCTGATGTGAAAATGAGCATCCTTTTTCTTCCAAGGGTGTTTTTCTGGTTGTGATTTACATTGTCGAGCCCTCGGTATGGCCTGGTCCATGTGTCAGGGTAGGAGGCAGAATCTGCCATCCTTGGTGCCTCTTGTTACAAGGAGGTGAGATAGGAAGACCAGTGCAGACCATAGAACTGAACTGGTGTAAAGAGAGAAAACAAAATGTCCTGCTGTAGGCTGCTGGACTGCGTCTGGTGAAGGGAGATACGTTTATCACGTTCCCTATGAGCTAACACCCATCCCAGAAAAAAAACCTACACCTGTCCTCAGCAAAGACATGATGTGCCACCTCTAATCCCAAAGTCAGCTCCTTTGGCAGGAAAATTGGGCCTGGTATTAGTGAAATGGTTTCACCCCCTTAACAGGGTGCAGTGGCCACCAGTGCTGCTGGGTGCAGGAAAAGTGTAATCACAGTCCCCAAGAAGACTCTCCATCCCTCCCTGGAGCACTGTAGGTGACTCAGGTAAGGAGGTCCCCTTTCCCCCTTACCATGTCAGAAGAGGATGGCACAGACGTACAGTGCAAATTCACTCCAGAAAGCCAGGAAGCAAGTATGTAAGTTCAGTTTGTAACAGATGAATTTGAAAAAGCCTTTGGCCAGGGAAATATTATTTTATTTCATACTTCAGTGGACAAATGGCAGTCTTGGCAAATGGGCTTTTATATTTCCAATGCATACTATTGCCTCAAAGTTTTTTTATTTTTAGCAGTAGAGCCTAAAAGAAATAATTGTTTAGGACACAGCTGACTGAGCAATGGCCAGCAACAGCTGCTTTCTTCTGCAGGGTCTTTTGCCTCTGATGAGAAATTGGTACAATGCTTGGTGTTGTTATTCTGGGAAATATCACCAGCAAACAAGCAGGCCATTATTGAAAACTGAAGTAATTTCCCAGAAGAAAGAAGTGGAGACTGTTTCTGGGTTGGAATAAGGTGGCGCTTTGTGTTCTGGAAATGGCAGAAATTTAGCAATTATTCACCCCGTAGAGTGTACTGCTGTAACAGTAGTTTCAGCACACACTCATCCAGCGACTTGGTGATGGACCTATCTGTCCATATGTTGGTGTAATCAATGCAGACTTGGGCATTTACTTTACTCCTTTTGCAGTCCATGAGTATAAACAGGCATGGTTAAGATACAGTTCTCATCCCAGGGAACTGCAGAAGGCAAAACCCTCTGCAAGTGTTTATTTTTCCCCGGTGCCTGTACAGGGGACTGCTGATGTCTAGCAGTGAGTAAGATGAGTTGTCCAGCTTGACGGTGAAACTCTCACTTTGATGCTGGACATGTCTGCAGACCTTTGTAAGTTGTTTTTTTTTTTTTGCATCCTGTGTTAGGAGACAGTACCTAGGTAAGTGTTGGGTGTTGTTAGTATTGACTTAGTTTAGAAACTTCTCTGGATGTTACTTAGAATAAAATATTTTAAAAATTAGCTTCAGGGCTCCTGGCAATCTCATTATTGTCCTGGGAAGGGAAGGCCATGGAGGGGGTGATGGGGGTAGGATTCTTGTGTATTTTCTTCTGAAGCAAGCAGTGGTGCTACATGTCACAAATGGGGCATTTGACTGGAAGGGCTTGGATGATTCTGCCAGTTCCTGTCTCATGTCCCCCCCTAAACGAAGTAAACATGCTCATTTCCCTGCATCTCACTGGCAACCAGGTCTGCTTCATTTAGCATCTTTAAAAAACATATAAGAAACCAATTTTACAAGGAGCAGGTGAGATGCAAATTAGCATTTTGTTTGCATGAGAAGTAAGACAGAACGTAAATTAAAGCATTTGAACTGACTGCATTCAGTATCTTCATTTCAACCTTTGATGAGTTATTAATATCTAAGGATGCCATGAAACATGCTCTGTGGCTTTTTGTACTACTTACAACAAACTGCATTTTAGGACTATGGCACTCTTCCACGTTACCAGACGGACAAATGCTTGGGAAAACATATGGGGCCAGATAATCCTTCAAGGGTGCTTACACAAAACTAAACCTTCGGAACTGCTCAGAATAGCTCCCATGCGGAGGCTTGTGGCCAAATGTCAGACAAGCTCATTTTCCAAGGGCTGCATTATCTTTAAAAAGCCTAACTACTACTAAAATTAGTACCTAAGGTCTTCTGCAAATACTGGCTCCCACGGCAGGGCTGTTCCACCTGCAAAGTCCTCTGGGGCTCCATGGGACTACGTCAGAGGGAACAGAGATTATGACCTTCCCACCATGTTTGTAACGCCACGAACAGAGGTTTAAGCAGGAAGCTTTGCTACAAGCTGAACAGCCTGGCTCTGACCTAATGAATCATGCTTTAAACCAACGAACTTGGCGGAGGTAGGATCCACAGCTGACATCTGTATATCTGTAAGCAACAGAGTGGATGAGCGCACCTATTAGAGCAGCAAGAAATACTACTCAACCCTTTCCAAAGGCAAGACCATAAGTTCAGCCACCTCAAGTGCATGTATACCAATGTATGCAGTCTGGGCAACCAGCAGGAAGAACTGGAGCTCTGTGCCTAGCCTGAGATGTCACAGGAATCACAGAAGCTTGGTTGGCAAACTCACATGATGGGAAGACCACAATGGATGGCTACAAACTCTTTCAGAAAGACAGGAAGGGAAGAAGAGGAGGTGGAGTTGCACTTTATGTAAGAGAGAAATTTGAGTGTATAGAGGAGAGCTCCAAAGACCATGCCATTTCTACTGAATGAATGCCGTTGGATCAAGATTAGAGGGATCATCACCAAGGGGAATCTTACATTAGGAATCTGTTACTGACCTCCCAATCAGGATGATGAAGCCGACAAAACCTTACTTTGGCTGCTCAAGAAAGTCTTAGGCCAACAAAATGTGGTCCTCATGGGCGGTTTCAAGGACCCAGACACATGTTGGGAAAAAAACCACAGTGATACCCTGTGCTCATCAGGTTACTGGAACATATTGAGGACTGCTTCCTGCTACAGAAGTTGGACATACTGACTAGGAGCAGCACATTGCTAATTTACTGCTCACAAACTGAGAAGACTTGACAACATAACTTGGATGCAGTGACCACAACGTTGAGGAGTTTATTTCTGAAGACCAGTAGTAGGACAAAGACCCCGAAATTTAGAAGAGCCAACTTCAGTATCCTCAGAGCCCAGGTGTGAGGGATTCCATGGGGAACATTCAGAGAGAGCAAAGGAGCTTGTGAGTGCTGGGTGTTATTCAAGAGGTGCCTGCTGAAAGCACAACAGTTGATCCTCTACAAAGGAAAAGGAGGAAGGCTGAACAAAAGATCACCTTGGCTTAACAATGAGATTTTAGGTGTAATTAAAAGGAAAAAAAGAAGAATTCTGGCTACAGAAAAGCAGCCAAATAGCCATTGAGGACTACAAGAAGCTTGCTAGAGCATGCAGAGATGCATTCAGGAAGACTAAGACTCAGCTAGAACTAAAATTGGCCAAAAATGTCAAGTACAACAAGAAAGGGTTCTTCAGGTTTGTGAGCAGTAAGCAGAAGCACATGGAAGACAGAGGTCCGTTACTAAACGGGGCAGAGAAACTAGTCACTAACAATGCTAACAAGGAAGAAGTTCTCAATACCTTCTTTGTCTCTGTCTTTACTGGTGTAGCTGGACTCCAGATCACAAGATCAAGTAGCTATGACAACTCATGTGTTGACCCACCAGTAGTGAGGAAGGGCTGGTCTGTGGCCCCTTGTAAGGGCTCAAGCCACATAAATCCATGGGTCTGGTCAGAATCCACCTCAGGGTGTTAAGAGAAGCAGCTGACATTGTTGGCAAGGTGACTGTCTATATTTGAAAGTCATGGACATCAGGGGATATCCCTGATGACTGGAAGAGGCAAAATGTCATGCTTCTTTACAGGAAGGGACCAAAAGAGGACCCAGGAAACTAGAGGCCCATTACTCTTACTTCATTCCCTGGGAAAGTGATGGAATGAGTCCTCCTAGGAACTATTACAAGCCAAACAAAGCAAGTGATTGAGAAAAGCCAGCACAGATTTACCAAGGGCAAATGATGACAGACTAACCCAATCACCTTCTTCAACAAAATAGCATCTTCTGTCAACACGGGGAGAGCAGTGGATGTTGTTTACTTGGACTTCAGCAAAGCATTTGACACTTTCCCACAGCCTTCTCCTGGAGCAGACAGACTGGTAAGATAAAGATTGGATGAGTGGTCTGTGAAATGAGTAGGAAACTGGATAACAGGCTGCACTCAAAGGTTGGTGATCAACGGTTTTTACTCAGGTGGCCAGAGGTGCTGTAATTGTGGCAGCCATAGATGTAGATCAAATTAAAAAGTAACTTAAACCCCTCCAACTGAAAAACAATAACTGGTCAGTTTTTACAGGACATGTGGAAAGCACTCTACAAAGATCTGCACTTGGCTCCTCTGAGGACACGCTCGTCTCTTTTGCTGTTGGGCTGCAGAGCTGATGCAAGATCAGAGAAGAAAAAGCCAGAAGAGTCTCTAAGCAATGTGCTGGGAATTAAACACTGCAGGCACAATTTCCAGAGCCACAGCTTTGCTAAATATATGCTAATACATACCAAATTCCAACAGAAGTTTGTGCAAACTGTAGTTACTGTAATTGTGGCTTCTGCATGTTGGCTGAAGTACAGAGTAATATAAACATAGAATAGCTTGGGTTGGAAGGGGCCTTTAAAGGTCATATAGTCTAACCCCCCTGCAATAAGCAGGGACATCTTCAACTAGATCAGGTTGCTCAGAGCCCTGACCAACCTGACCTTCAACACTGCCAGGGATAGAGCATGTACCACCCCTCTGGGCAACCTGTTCCAATGCCTCACCGCCTTCATCGTAAAAAATTTCTTCCTTATAGCTAATCTAAATCTACCCTCTTTCAGTTTAAAATCATTACCCCTTGCCTTATCACGACAGGCCCCAGTAAAAAGTTTGTCCCCATCTTTCTTATAAGCCCCCTTTAAGTGCTGAAAGACTGCAATCAGGTCTCCCTGGAGCCTTCTCCAGGCTGAACAGCCCCAACTCTCTCAGCCTGTCTTAAGAGGAGAGGTGCTTCCACCCTCGGATCATCTTGGTGGCCTCCTCTGGCCCTGCTCCAACAGCTCCATGTCCTTCTTGTGTTGGAGACGCCACAGCTGAACGCAGTACTCCAGGGGGAGTCTTACGAGAGCAGAGGGACAGAATCCCCTCCCTCTATCTGCTGGCCACACTGCTTTGGATGTAGCCCTGGATATAGTTGGCTTTCTGGGCTGCAAGCACGCAATGCAGGCTCATAAGTAGCAGCATGTAGTTTTCATACAGATGACCAAAGACTGCAGAGGACAAATTTACCCCTGAGGCAAATTCAACAGTCAAGGGAGTTACATCAGGTCTTAATTTGGCTTTTGTTTCATATATATTTAGCCATAAACATACGCACACACGGAATACGAGCTCTCCCCTTCCCATTGTTCAGGATGTGTATGCATCATAGCACTGTAACATGCCTGGTTTTGACTGCAGACCTGAGCAGCAACAAATGATGTCACTCCTAGCATCACCTCAGGCCTTGTTTAATGGAGAGCTTGTCAGTGACCAGCCACCGAGGAGCTAGCAGAAGCACAACTACGGGTCACAGGGCCTCAGTCCCCAGCCTCAGCATTTCTACTCAGCTTTCTCTCATGTGTTGATCTATGAAGGCAAAGTGTGTTTGTACCCTGGAAAACATGGGATTTGTGTTTATTGTGCCTGGATGACTTCAAGCTCAGAAATGCTTATTGCCAAACACAGCTGTTTTCTGGTAAGGGTGGGAAGGACACGGAGAGTCACTTGATCGACCACTGATGCTCACCATCACTTCTCCCCTCCCCTTGCAGCATTCACTTGGACCTCCCTGGGCTCTGAGCTCTCTGTAGTTGTGCTTTCAGCACACTTGAAAGCTCTGTCACCACCATATATACGGCACAAAAACATGCACAGGGACACAATGATGAGATAAATCGCTTTCTGTACCATCATCCTGTCTAGAATAAAGAGACGGATGGACACAGGGCAAACTAATCTGAGATTTATGGACTGGAAGTCTTTCAGGATGTGGCAGCAATTGAAGGAATTTCCCCACCAGGTCGGTGTTGGTTTGTGTCTGTGTCTTACACAGCCGGTGTGATCCAACAGCTCTTACCATTTTCCTTTACAGCATGTGTTACAATGATTGCCAGACAGATGGCTGATCTGCTGCAACAAAGCAAATCCTACGTGTTTTTGTAGGAAGGAAAAATCTACCAAAGCGATCACAGCTAGCTATGTACGTGTTTTCTTCCTGCTCTGATCAGCTACCCTCACAGACTGTTGCCAGAGAGCAGAAAGCAGAGGACTTGCTCAGCTTTCACCACGTGAAGATGTACTGTCACATTGCACCCACGGTGGGAGGTCCAAGAGGACAGCTTGCAGCCTTGGTCATCCCTAGAGGAGCAGAGTATGATGCTGCTTAGAGGATGACCCAGGACCACTTCATCCCACAGGGACCAGCTGCTGAGAGGAAGAGACAAGATATATAAAGCAAGTGGACTGGCAGAGAAGAGGTACTAGCTGACTTAACTATACCTGCTGCTACCTCTGATTGTACATTTATGCTGGAGGCACTCTCTTCACTCTCTTCAGAAATCATGAGCTGTCCTTGCTTCTGGCTCAGTCTGCGAGGGAGGGATCCAATGAACGCAGGCAAAATCTGGAGACTAGTGAGGTTCCTCTTGAACCTAATGAAATACTACATGGCTACAAGAATGTACCTTTGGGGAAACTACTGCTTTGTATTTGCTCACTGGGGCTTCCTTTGGTTTATCACAACACGCATGAAGGGACAGACCACATCTTGCAGGAGTCATAAAAGTTCCTGCACACTTTGGGTGCTGATTACTGTAGGCAGCATTCCTCTTTTGGACACTTGTCAACAACCACGGTGAAACTTTGCATAGGTACAAAATATTTGCCATTCTGTATCTTTATTTACTTTGTGGTAGCCAATTTCACATGCTCCAGAAGGAAGGAAGAGTAAGTTCTTACCATGGGGCATCCTATCTAAGACTTCTGGGTTTTTTTTGACAATGGGATTTAATGTAAAACTTGAATTATATTACTAACAGAATTGAAAATTTATGAATTAGATTTTTGAGTTAAAAAGAAAACCCTCTTACTAAGTAATATTAATCACCTCAAAAAGACAGCTCCAAGCCAGATCATATACTACATATTAACCTTCTATTGTGTCCCAGTGCTTTAATGTTAGGATCATCCTACATATTCCTCATCTATACTCACAGTACAGTTGGGCATGGCTTTGTCAGCAACTGGAGGGGCCAGTCTTGACCTCAGTATTTTAAATCTTGTCAGTTCAAAGACATGTATTGAGAACGAGTGTCTGGAGCACAGATTTATCTGCAGATGGATACGCATGTTATCCTTCCTGGGTCCTAAGGGTCCTAGAGAGGCACTACAAGGGTGACTCCAGCTTTCTGGGGACCAACCATATTATTTGCTCACTCAGACATCTAAATTTATAGCTCAGTATTTAGACTGATCACATACAGTGTGACACTGAGTTCACAAACTAGGAATTATGACATCTTCATCCATCCATGTGAGGTTTTCCTTCTGTAAGAATCATCACGCAGATAATATTGTTTCACCAGTGAAGTAATCTAATTTGAATAATTGTTCCAGTATATTAGGAATAGTCCTCACAGTGTTTAACTGTTTATGAACAGAGCATGAGCGCATAGAGGGGAGAAGATTGAAAACAGACAGGTGAAAAGGAATCTGCAGTGCAGGGCTATCGTGTGGTGAAAGGGGTCAGTAACACAGAAGTTGTTTGATGCCTGTTTAAAGTCATCCATGCTATTCTTTCCCCTTGTGTGCACATAGGAAGAGGTGGAACTCTGCCAAAGGAATACTGTTTCACCACAATAGTGAGGTTCGTGCTTGCACTATAGCAATACCAAAGAAAAAGGTAATGGCTCTAGCAATAAATCAGAAACATACAATGAAGAGAAGAACCCCCACTGTGTAAACCTTTGCAATAAAACCATAGTAACAACTCTTTTTAAAGCCAAAGATATACAATAATAAAAAGGTACTTACCACCATCCTGGTGTGAGAAACTCTGTGAAGGGAAGAAATAAGATATTTTGGTTAAACCTTTTATATTTTGGGCATAATTTTTACAAAGTCTTGATTTTTATGCTAGGATTGCTTTTATGGTGCTTTGTAATTTTTAAATGGGTAACTGGGGATACAGCTTCTCAGGTTTAGGTGCCATTAGAGGCTGAGGGAAAGGGACATGGTGTAACTAAAAGGAGAACACTGCTGTTTGCTGCAGGCTATAATGTTCAGAAGTGGCGTTTGTGGTGAATGCCACTATCTCTGGGTGCCACTGGGAGCGGGGAAGTTTGAGATGCCTTCCAGGATCCCGCTGACATCCTTCAGCAGGGCCAAAAGCTCACATGGTTTCCTTGCAGATAAGCTAAAGAGATAGTCTCTGAAATCCCTCTGCTAAAAAAGCTGGAGTGGGAACAGGAAATCCAAATAAACCAACCAAAACAGATCTGGCATCTTTGTATTGTTTCTAGTCTTGTTCATCCCGGTTTGAGCTAAATGCTCTGCAACTGCCCTCCATCTTCCCATAAGTGTATGAATTATAACTGCTGCTTTCAAACAGTGCTAAGAGTCTACCTTGGTTTCAATCTGTGTCTTTTTATTTTTTATTTTTAAATACCTTTTGCAAGTTCTCGAAAGATTTCTCAGTCTCCCTTAGTTTCTCCAAAATGATTTGTTCTTTGGCAGATATTTGGGATTCCTCACTTTCTAATTTCTGTATTTCTTGTTCCAGCCTGTGGAAGACATACAGACATGCACATACAGACAAAAACAAAACATGTAAAAATTATTTCGATGAGCCATAGTTTCCTAGGTGTTAATTAGCATTTCAGATATAATCAGGAACAACTTTCACTCTTGTTGTTCACAACCGCTTTCCTAGCGCATGAAGAGTGCATGAATTATTTGTAAAACAGATCTATTTAAAAGAAAAGCAGTAATTCTTTTATTATGCACTTGTGCAAAAGCATGTACAGATTAACTAAAAATATGCCTAGATATCCCTTCACACTAATTCCTGTAACATCCCTCAGATATGCACTTTCATTTTAGAAATCACAATATAGGATATAATAATAAATACGCAGTAATAATTAGAGGAATAGGTATCTTCTAACGCTTCCATACTCCAAACAATGAAACTGGAAATAGTTCTTGGAAGCTGGCAGTCAATCCATTGTGTTACGAGTTTCTCTTGAACCAGTATTTTGCCCACTCCCGACAATAACACTTTGGGAAGCCAAAAGCATTGGACATCCATCCGTGCTTTTTGCTGTTACTTCATGATACTGGAGAACCCAGAGGCTTCAGATAATAAAATACACAGGCTGCTCAGAAAATAAACTTATTTTGCTAGGTAATAAGCATTCAACGCTCTCATTTCTCTTGTCAAGACCTAAGGGCACTCAGTCCTTAAGATGTGCTGATTGTGATTTGGGATACACTTCATAATAGAGTTAGATTCTCCATTCCTTTAACTCAAACCTCCTTTTACTGACATGATTTATGCAGGCACAGGAATATTCTCTCTTTCTCTCTCACTATTTTTATGTATACCACTACCTTTTTTTTCTTACTTTTGACCAAAAAAAAAAAATCTGTAATATGAGCTAAGATGAACACTTTTGAGCAGGGATAGTTACCTAAAACTCCCTTTGTCTTCAGAAAGAGCTGTAGCTGCTCACAGCTTTTGGACCATATTTCTTTGAACGTGACAGATCAGCATTGCCCAGCACTTTTCTTACCCACAGCTACTTGCTCCTGCCTTTCTGCCACCACTTCCCAAGTGAAGGATCAGGGCACTGATCCAAGCTAAAGGGACATATTTTTGCTCTTTCCCAGCCCTGTTCAGCACAAGGTTTCATTAATGCTTGTTCGATCACAAGGCCGAGGGCAAGGAGAAGGTGACAGTGAGCACGCAGGGAGGAGGGAGGGAGAGATCGCTCCTTGACAGCTTGAGTTGCTTGTGAAATTCATGCGTCTAAATATAGACACAGGGGTCTAACTTCAGGCACCCACCTGGGAAATTTTTTCCCCCTTTCTAATTGTGCAAGGATGAAAGATGTGCAGCACTTGCTGATAACACTTTTCATTAGAGGAAGGCAAAAGTGTCACAGCCTCAAATTCTTGCAGATGGAAAAAGGCAGATTTTGCTCTCCTGAAGTATGTGAGTACTTAATAGTCTCAAATTTGTGGTGATTTGTCAAACCTCTGTTTTTCTCTCTTAAAGGCAACCCCCTCACCTCCAAGTTGAAATGGCTTAATTGCAATGATTTTAAAGTGAACTGGTGGACAGTACTGCTGCAATCCACTTAATGTTTTCTCCAAATTAATACAAAAACTTATAAAATGCAAAATATTTTGAAACAAAATATTTTGTTCTGCTGAAATGGAACAATTTGATATAGGATTAATTTTCCCCCTCATGTTGTGATTCAGGGAGAAAGCTTTCAAAAAATACTGTTTTATCTTTCCTTCCCTGGAAAAAATTTTAAAATACCTAGTGAAGTGAAAAAATTGCCGTGCTCCTGCTTAATGAATTTAGAAGTCAACAGGAAGGTGGCTTCTCTTCCTTCTCTATCCCTGGGAACAATTAGTAGATCCACATACATTTATTTATACCTTGCTGATAAAGACATTTGAAATACTCTGCTGTGCTGTCTGGTGAAATTACATTGTGCAGCTGGGTGAATCGATGTTTACTGATGTGTTTCTTTTCTTCCCAAGTGAATCACTAAGCAGCATTTTCAGGATACATATTCTGTAGCCTGGTACATTTTGCTCGCTGCATGATCCAGGAAAAGACTGGAAAATGGGAGTGCGTAGGTGTCAGCAACAATGAAATACAGAGGAAGAAAGAAGTCCTTTTGCTTTCATATGAACTGGACATTAGTTAATAATTTATGACAATGAAAACACTGTGAGCATATGTGGTGTAAAGCAACTAATTTGATGTGAGTAAGGTTATAAGCAAATAGGCTCCTTGTGATTTGGGGTGATTGTAAATGCATCATTTTTTGCACAACAGCTCAAAACTATAGGAGGTTTGTCATGAATTGTTTGGTCTTCCACAGAAAGTGTGCTTCTAATGCATGCACATGCGTGTTTGCATATGCACACTCAGCAATTGACTGGATTTATATTCTCTTGCTTTCTGTCTACTTGTTCTTTTGTTTTTACGTGTTTATGTCTCTTTTATCCTCCCTTCCTGGTTCACTTCCTCAGTTTCTGCTTCATTTGTGCCAGCCTACCCTCACTGTTAAAATGAGTTGGGCAGATGCAACATTAAGTTACCCTATTTCAACAAGGCATCATGGGTTTTTTTTTCCTTTTTTTTTTTTTTTTTTTAATTTTCCTGAGTTCCTTCTTCAGTTCCTTTTAGAAGCAGTATTAACAACTTACTAAAGAGGAAAGAGATGGAGACAGAGCTGCCAGGATCTAGAAACACGGGTGAAGCTGGTAGGGACACAGAGATTTCCTATGTGACACTGAGTAAGAATGCATACAAACTCATCCCATAGGTGCAAATTGCCCTTTTCCCACTGAAATCAGTGCAGGCAGACTGAGAATCTCCCAGGCCCTGTCTAGACCGGTTCTGAATTCCTAATTGTGGCAGGAAAAATATGGATCATTCAGCCAGAATGTGCCTGTTACATAGCACGAGGGTCATATGCCAAGCATTAATAACCACAGGATGTTGCTTTATACCTTTTTGCTCAAATTTATACTACTCTCGTCTGTACTTTCTAGGCTTAAAGGCTGAGCTAGTGCTGCCAAGGTACTGAGGTAACTGAAATACTCCAAGGCACAGTTTCCATGTGAGCTGTTGCATACATTCATCAGTAAACCACCTGGGCACCACAGACCTCACTGGAAAACTTGAACCCAGAGTCTTAACCACTTCCTTCAGGCTGCCTTTTTACATGTAGGGGCCAGCGATGCAGAAATGAAAATCATAATGCAAACTGAAGGTTGTTTTGCACCCTTTATTTTTTTAGTGAGCTTCAGGTCATCAGAGTTGCTGAGTGATAAGGAGAACTGCCTGCTTTTTTGGTAACAAGATACGACGGAGATATGCAAATTTGGTCTGAAAAGCGAAATGCACTAATATCACATCTGTTTTGAGCAACGCGCTATATAATGGTTTAAACAGTAATAAATCCATGCAGAGTGCACACATACACATATGTACAAATATAAAGTGCTTACACTCTTCCTGTGTAAACCTGTTAAATATTGAATAACGTCCTTTTCTTCTAGCCCAGTTTAAAAAGGATGTGCCTTAATTGTCATTTGACACCTGGCAAGGAAACCTTACAATTCCCTTGTTCCTGACTTCTTAGCAGATTTCAGGCTGGCGTTTGAAAGACAGCGACAATAATAAAGCCAGTTAAATAAACAACTGCAAAATCTGAAGTGCTGTAGGGGACAAAAGTGAGAGAGAAAATGGAGATCCAGAGGAGGAAGAAGTGGGGTAAAACAGACCGTTAGTGTTGCTGCTTATTGTCCCAAGCAGTTATCTGATGGCTGGGATTTGCTAAACTGTTTACATAAGGAGAAAAAAAAAAACGGGTCAGGGAGTCTGGAGTTGCTTTGGCACGGGCATGTTTTTCCAGTGGATGTACACAGAGCCCTATTTCCCCGAATACCGCAGAAACAAACAGGGGAGATGTCGCTGCTCGGAAAGCCAAGTCTGCCTTGCTGCTAGTCTGTCTGTCCCACGGCTTTCCGTAAGGGATGGCTGCCATGAGCACCTGAGGGTTTAACAGGATTTTCAGGGCGGGGTGAGAAGTGCTGCCTGTGTAAGCTCATGTTAACAGTACTGTCCTGCTACGAAGGGAGAGAAACCAACAGCATCCAAGCAAGGGATGCTGTTGCTTAGATAGCATTTTCCTGTCCTTTGGGGGCACTCCAATTCCTTGGTTAGTTAGTAAGACGACAGGCTCATAAGAGGACTTAGACTGGAGGTGACCTCAGGAGGTCTCTAGCCCAACCTCCTGCTCCAAGCAGGATCAGCTGTGAGATCAGACTAGGATGCTCATGGCTTCTTCCAGTTGGGGCTTGAAACTCCCCAATGATAGCGGAAAAAAAGATCATTTAAGGCTACGCACAGGCTTTCTCGTTTACAGTCTGTGGCTATCAGACAGGATGCCCTGCAAAATTCAGACCAGAACCGTTCAGTACTGCAGGGGAAGAGGATGCACCAGACTGCTAAAAGAACTCTGGCCAGTGTGTTTGGTGGGATTTTGACCCAACCAGGCGGCCACACAAGCATAGGAAAGGCGGGCAATGCAGTCTCTGAGAAGACAGGAAGCTGAAGCACCAAATGAACCTTCCTGCAGAGATGCTGGGATCAGGGACCAAGGGAGCTCTCAGGCAGCACAGAAGACTCTTTAATGTAGGTGACAAAAAAGGGGAGTTAAGAAGGGGATCTAAGAGGCGAAGAGGCAGAAGGAGAGGTTTGGGACTGTGGGATGTGTACACGTGCACTTATGTTTAGCACTCAGTACCCAGCAAACATTATGTTTGGATATAGGGCTCTGTTTTGTGCTCCAGCCTGAAGGTGATGAACGTACCTTCTCTAGGTGAAGGATTTCCTCTGTTTCCCATGCTAAGATGTTGAAACCCACAGACCTGGCCTGCTATTTTCCTCTCTGCTGAAAGGCAGAGGCTGTTCTGGTACAAGGTGCCTTTACCTTGACCCCGGGAGGGACGGCAAGCAGGATCCCGCAGA